AATTAATATGTTAATCTAAATATATGAATTTTAGGGGTGGAATTAATACGTACCGAGTATTTTTTCCTTAAACCGTATAACATACCAATTATAGTTGGCATAAAAACTCAACTACCATTACACTACCAAGTATAGTTGGTACCAACTTTTTTGGCTACTAATTAGTTTGTTTGGTAATAATATATACCAACTTGTATTGGGGGTTTGTGAATAATGATTTATTTATTCTTGAGCATTATGAAGCGTGAATGGGGGTTTTGTAAATGGTTGGGATTGGAAATTCGATCCAAAAGGATTTTATAAATTTCTACCATGAGTTTAAAATTTTGGTTGGTATGATATTACCTTGATATTTTAAAATGAATTGGTTGGTAGGGTATTACCGTGATATTTAAAAATTTGCATGTACCGTTATCATACCTTGATTATTAAATTGGTACAATACTACCAACCAAACATATTAGCTACCAAACATATTTGTTTTACCAATATTCTTAATTTGGTTAATAATATGTTTGTTAGATTTCTATAATATATATTTGTTAACTCTAAGGAATTTAACCCTTATCATGTTTGACCATAAGGCAAGACTATAAGAAAATTATAATTTTTTTAATACTATTTTGGTTCTTTAAAATACTTTGAAAGCTTTGTATTGTAACTTTTCAAGTGTCGTGAGACATGAAAGCTTTGTCCCGTGCTTTTATTTTCCTATACCCATGTGTTTATTTGTTTCTACAGAAGTCTATATGTTTTGTTCATGCAATTTTTCCCACCAATACACTAAATATACTTGTTTAATATATTTTTTCATATTTCTTCGACCATATGACCATGTTTATTCATAGCAATGTCAAAATTGTACCATAGAAAATCAATCAACATGTTGCAAACCGATTTGAGATGGTTACTCTCTCAAGAATAGGAGAAGAAAAGCTAGAACTGGATCAATTTTTTGATAACTTTGATTAATGGAAAACACTTAATTAAAATACAAAGAAACTAAGAAAATATCAACCGGAAATCAGGAAACATGTGATCATGGAGGAAGTGTAAGACTTGACTCCTTCTTGACATGCTAACGGTAACATACATGCTTAATTAAAGGATAATGCTACTTTTGAGGAAGTGTAAGACTTGACTCCTTCTCCCATATTTGTGGCGATTTACACTTTCAGCACATATCTTTTAAAGTTTGTCGATTTTTCTCATATTACCCTAATAGCGGCGCAGCCACGGGTTCTTTACTTTATATATATATATATATATATATATATATATATATATATATATATATATATCAAAATTTATGGTTTTTAATTTTTTATAAATAAAATATAATTTTGATATATTTTATATGGCCAAATGATGACGTTTTTATAACTTTGATTGTTATATAAGTCAAAAGTCTTTGAAGTAATAGAAAAAAATATGAGTATAAGAAATGAGAACAAAAATGGAAGTTCAATGGCTTAAATATCACCATTTGGATTTACATTGCCAAATAGTGATGTTTTTGTACTCGTTTAAGTTAATTAAAAGTCCTATTACGATGAATATATCAAAGTATCCAAGACTCCATCTAGATCCCTCCGGCAAATTTATTCCAGCTTAATCCCTTCATAGTCTACAAAAGACACTTAAGTCCCTCCACTTTATTACAAATTCTAAACCTGCACAAAACTAAGAAATTCATAACAATTCAATACAATTTACCAAGTTCAAGGTTGTATAAAATACTTTTCCTAACATGTCTTTAAAATTTGGAGAACTCTTAGACACGATAACACTTTTTCCAAGACATGTTTTAAAAATGAGAGAGTTCTTATAACAAGTTTTAAATGTCAATTTTTGAAAGCATGAATAAACCAGCTTAAAGTTAGAACCATAAAAGAAATATATGGTTTAGTATTGATCAAATATAAAGGTTTACCAACAAGCATTTGATAAGCAATAATATTATTCGGCAACACATCTTATGAATTCACACCCTCTTTACTTACTACATCATTACGACCTGAAGGAATTCAATAGGTTTACAACACAAAAAATCAAACTCATGTGGTAATTCCAAACAATATTCACTTTGTGAAAGACAAAGTCCAAATGAAATTTCAACAATCTCAATACCTAGAATGCATTTTAAGTTTCCAAGGTCCTTAATCAAAAACAAAGTTTTCAAAAAAAAAAAAAACTGTAACACTTCAAGTTTCTTTTTCATAATTTGATGCGAGAACAATATCATCTATACAAACCAAAAGAATCACAAACACATGACCATTTGATTCGGTAATTAAACAATCAATAATCACTTTTACTTTGAATAATCCAAATATCAAATAAAGAATTTGTTGGTTTTTAATCCATTTTCTAGAGCATGTTTCAAACCATATAATGACTTAACCAATTTGCACATATGTTGATCATCCTGTGAAAAATATCCTTAAGGATGATTCATATACACCTATTCTTCAAATGATCCATATAAGAAAGCATAATTTACATCAATTTGGCAAGGATTTCAATTATAACTAATAGCCATAGAAATGATATACCTAACAATTACCAATTTAGCAACAGATGAAAATGTTTCGTCGAAATCAAGACCCCCACATTTGGCAACTATCCGAGCTTATAAAGCTCAATATCACCATTGGATTATGTTTATCTTATAGATGCACATACAACTAATAGTTTTTCTACCACTAAGTAGATCGGTAATTGTGTTAGGATAGTTAAATAAACGAGTTTTAAACTGAAAGTACTTGTTATAAATGATTTAGTAAGGTGAAGTGATATAAATATGACAACTTTTAAACAATGCTAACATGGATTATAATGATCAAAGTTTTAATGAAATTTATGTTTAAGTACGATGTAGATGTACATATGTTAATGAATGGAAAAATATATCACATACTTAAAATCTAGTTTAGGATGCTAGAAGAAGTTGATATAATGGATTAATTATGGTGTTGGAAAGGTAAAGTGTAAACTAGGTTCAAATTTGAGAATTATGACAAATATGTTCCAATGATCAAAGATTAAGTAAAGTTTATGCTTGGAAAATTCATAATATGTTTAAGAATGATAATTTATATACGTGAAACTATACTTAGGCAAGAAATGGTAAAAATGAGTAGGCAAGATGGGAAATCTTATGAAGATATGAGAAGAAGCAGATAAAGTGAAATGAGGCTTATATCACTTATTTTCGTTCGGTTTGTAGTTAAGACATAGAAACAAGTAGCAAAATATATAATCAATACAACTGGAGTTGAAATGAGAAAACTACGGAGCCAAAAAAGGAAACCGTTTATGCTCGGTCCACACATCAACATGCATGGGGCATGTGTGGTCCGCATTGACCATGATGGAATAACATTAGGCCAAGTATGCAAAAACACCAGCTTGCTTACCAACATTTTTGCATGACATAAAAGATAACAATGTCCTTTAGTAACAAACAAAGGTGATGCCTATGCTTAATCCTATGATTTCGTTAATTACCATTATGACAAGTATGCAATAACAACAAAAATACTATATTGCCATATAAGAATACACAATTTTTCAATATCCATAATAGAGTAATTACAGTTTTGCTCCATATGGTCTGGTCAGATTCGCACTTTCAGTCCAACTTTTGAAAATTTGACAAGATGTATCCCTGTGGTTTAAAAACATTGCACTGCACATCCTCGGTCCATTTAAAAAGACAATTTTACCCTTACTTTTCTATTTTTGTTTTTCATTTCTCTTTCCCTTTCTCTCTCTCTCTCTCTCTCTCTCTCTCTCTATATATATATATATATATATATATATATATATATATATATATATATATATATATATATATATATATGTGTGTGTGTGTGTGTGTGTGTGTGTGTTTAGAGAGAGAGAGAAAAAAAAAGTTCATAGAGAACCATAATTATTGGTTCTCCAAGGAACCCATTTTTTTTCCAAGTTTTAGAGCTTATTGTTTATCAAAAAAAACAAAAAATTTCTAAATTAATAACTTCACATTGTGAATGCTAAAAAAATAAATTATATATTTTTCGAGTTCATCGTGTAAATTCAGATTCACACTATGAATCTGCACAGATTCACATTGTGAATTTGACAATTTTTTATATCGAATTTGATATCATTGGAAAAATGATAAAAAGTTATGAATTTCTATATTTTTTATTATTATTATAAAAAACAAGCTCTAAATGTTGAAAAAAAGATTGGTTCTTTGGTTAATTATGGTTCTTTAGTAAACATCACCCATATATATATATATATATATATATATATATATATATATCTATATATATATATATATATATACACACACACACACTTAGGTTCAAATAAGAATAATAATATTCATGTGTGAATGTTAACCACGAACACTGGGCCACATATTTCTTTTTACCGCAAAACCCTTCAGTATATCGGCGTGACGGAAGAATGTAATATTTATATGTGAATAAGTATATTCATATTCTCATGTGATTATATATATATATAATATATATATATATATATATATATATATATATATATATATATATATATATTATATATATATATATATATATATAAAATCTGTTCTTCGGTCGTCCCGGTACGTTCCTCCGTCATGTTGGTACGTTAGAGTGTTTTGCAGCAAAAATAAATATGTGGCCCAATGATGGTTGCGTTAGTTGTGGTGGTGGTGGTTTATATTCACGTATGAATATTAAGTTCCTTCGTCGCGCCAGTAAACGAGAGGGTTTTGCGACAAAAAAATATGTGGCTTAAATTTGTTTTCGCGTTCCCGGTTTAATAATTGTTCTCATTTGAACATTCCCATATATATATATATATATATATATATATATATATATATATATATATATATATATATATATATATATATATATATATCAGAAAAATAAAAATATAAAAATAAAGGTAAAATGGTCTTTTTAAATGGACTAAGGATATGCAATGCAATTTCTTTAAACCAAAGGGATGCATCTTGTCAAATTTTCAAAGATTAGACTGAAAGAACAAATCTAATCAAACCACAAGGACTAAAACTGTAATTTACTCTTCATAATAATAACACTCTCATATGCATAGCAGTTAAAGCTAAACCCCAACCATATCTACTCATTCATGGGCCACAACCACAACTTGCTTGCCAACATTTTTGCCTGAAAAAAGACCTAACAAAGCCGCAGGTGCACTCTCAAGCCCTTCTGCAATATCTTCAATGTAACATATCTTCCCTTCATTTATCAATGGTATAGCCATTTCCATGTACTTTGGATACAAATTAATATGATCACCTACAATAAATCCTTTCATGTGAAGTCGTTTCATTATTATGTGTGATAAATTCCTCATACCCTCCTCTTCATTGAGGTTGTATTGTGAGATCATTCCACAAACCGAAACGCGTCCATTTGTTTTCATGTTTAAAAGCACTGCCTCCAACATCTTTCCACCAACATTCTCAAAATATATATCAATTCCTTCTGGAAAGTATCTGAGATTAATTAGAAAAAAAAAAGAACATTACAAAAAACTAATCTTTATATTGGCCTTTCGTGTGACAATTATATATGTTCTTTGTTTGGGCTAACTAACCTTTTAAGAGCTTCATCAAGATCTTGCTCTTCCTTGTAGTTAAAAGCCTCATCAAATCCAAATTTATTCTTCAATAGCTCAACCTTGAATGACACATGTTTTTGAGAAATGTATGCCAATGAATCATCATATAACGGAAAATAATGCTCAAATTAATCACCTTTTCATTAGTTCCAGCAGTCCCAACAGCATAGCATCCGGTCAGCTTCGCAAACTGCCCGACAAGCTGACCGACTGCCCCAGAAGCTGCGGAAACAAAGACATACTCTCCTTTCTTTGGAGCACAAATCTCATAGAAACCATAATACGCAGTCATACCATGCATACCTTGAAGAAACCATCAAAGGAATAGTAATCATTTTACAGAATTAATGATCCCTAATTTACAGAATCTTAAAGGTTTTTAACTATAAAACATACCAAGGATTCCTATATAATAGGAAAGAGGGACATCCGTATGTTGAATCTTGAATAGGGCGTCAGGAGCAGTGATAATGGTGTATTCTTCCCATCCAGTCCATCCCCAAACTAGGTCACCTTTCTTCAAGTTTGAATGCCCAGAATCCACCACTTTAGCCACTCCTAGTCCTGCTATGGGCTGCAACATCAAAACGTTCACAAGCCAGATTATAATTTTGTGGAAACTGATAACCGCTGAGCATTAAAAGTGATAGCAGATATGCTTAATTGTAAGTCAAAGTATGTATTCATAAAGGGATAGATTTCCCCTAAAAAATATGAGAATGAGTGTGGAATTCATACCGAACCCAGGAGTGAAGGATTCACGGTGACTGACTTGACTTTTGCTCATCAGACAACACAGGTATGGATCACAGGAGAGATAAAGGTTCTTGACAAGGACGCCATTGGAGCCTTGTGGGAGCTTGAGGAGGATTGTGGAGGAAGTTTTAAGGAGCATGTCTGATTCCTTGGGGAGGCCATTAACGTAATCCTTCAGTATCACCTGCTGATTTCTCACTTCTTCCATTTAGCTGATAAAAAAAGAACTAGAGCGCACAAATTTTAAATTTATTGCGTCTAATCCAATCCTCGTTGAGTTTGACCTAATAAATACATAAAAATAAATAATATAAAAATCTAACTAGTACACGTTTTTTTTTTTTCTAGACATCTCCATCGTGGGTCCCATGGGTCCCATGGTTAATTTACATATTTTTCACTTGTGGATGCCCTTCACTTGTGGATGCCGCACATGGCTAGTCCGTGGGGTCACTAAAAAAACATGGTTTTTATTAATGAATTTTTTCAATAACAAATTTTTTTTGAAAACAAGAACCTATTGATTGAATTATTAAGAGTTTTTACTTAGTAAACTTTTTTTAATTTTTTATTTTTTTTTGATATTGGGTTTTATAGTTTGTCAATCATTAAATAATAGACTATTATAAAACTAATGTATACATAATTAAATAGAAAAGGTTTTTATATATTCAAGAAGTTTGACAAAACTTCATAAATGGTTCTTGATGATTTCATAAAATCTGAAGTTTCGTCTCTAACTTTAAAAACCTTACGGATGGTCCATGTGGTTTTAAAACTTTTAATGTTTAGTCCTTCCGGCTTACTCTGTTAACATTTAGTCGTTAACTCTTTTTTTCAATATTATATTGCATGGGCAATTTTGTCATTCCACTTGTAACATTCCCTCTTTAATAGGAAATGATTATGTACCGGTAGCTATTGCTTGCACGTCAACTCCACAACCCATCCCTCTCCCAAGAACATACCCAACTACACTTGAAATCATCACACTATTTCCATCTCAAAAGCAAGAACATAAATTGGGATTTAGGGCTTTAGCAGAAGGAATCACAATGGTGCTGTCAATATGGTGTTTGCGAGAAAAATTTGCAACCGTGCAGGACTTGCCAAAAAGATATGGTATGATACTACAACAAACTTATTTTGTTTTCGTTGATTGTGTTTATGAAGAGAACTCATTCACTTTACCCTTTTTTTGTGTTTATAGAAGGATATGACAACTATTTCACGTTGAAGATACACTACAATAGTATCTTCACTAAAGCACTTGGAAGGAAATACATTGATGGTAATGTAGCATATGCAGATGATGTTGACACTGATTTATTTTTAGTTCATGAGCTTGATGACATGGTTCAAGAACTAGGGTATAAAACCGAGGAGACCCTTTACTACTATTTTCGTATCCCTGAATACCCCTTAGAGTATGGCTTAATGCCTTTAGGTAATGACCAATATGTACTTAAAATGGTGTCGTATATCCCTAAACACAGACTTATAAGGGGTGTATATTGAAAATGATCAGACTAGGGTACCTAGTTATTTTAAGTCTCCTTTTAAAGTTGTTATTGAGGAGTTGGAAACTGAGAGTGTGTCGCCTAAAATGAATAGAAAGAAACCTTGTAGGAGAGATGCAGGATCATGTAGTAGAAATCTTGATTTAAACCAGTCTGTGAACCCTGTTTTTTTTATCAGTCACAAGTATTAGATCTGGATGAAGGGCATGATTACTCAAAGACTATTTTGCCATATATAATTTTACAGGTTAGCCAACAAAGTAATGTCATTGATGTGGTCAATCATGAAATTGAAACCCAAGAACAAGTGGTCTATCATGAAACTAAAACTCAAGAGGAAGTGATCAATCATGAAGTTGAAACTGAAGAACTAGTGGGAAGTTACCTTGCTGAGTGCAACCTCTAAGATGTAGAGGAACCCAGTTGGCAAGCTGATGATGGAGTCCATACCGCAAGAGTTGATGAATTTGAATCATTTTGAGAGGATTATTCACTTTTTGCTGAGTATAATGTCTAAAAAGATTGTGAACCTCAACCAAAAGTGGATATTCTAGAGGGTATGGTGAGTGATGATAGTGGAAAGGCTTTCTATTATGAGAGTGGATATGGTTTTGAGGGTAGCGGAGATGATTCTGATGACAGTGACTACAATTTGGATGAGACTAACATACAATTTGATGTTGCTGTAGACATGAGTGAATTCCATAGTGTTTTTGATGTAGATGAACATGGAATCTTAAACAATCATTCAACAGGTGAAAGGAATGATATGATTGATAATGAATTGGAAGTTATTGCTACTGATGATTATCAGTTTGCAGGTATTCATGAAGATGATAGGAAGAAATGCTTAAGAGGTTAAGTAAGTCAAGCAGATGATCACATGGGGAGATTCATGTAAAACCATTTAAGGTGGGCCATGTCTTCAAAACCAAGATTGATGTTAAATACTTCATGAATTCATATGCTGTAGAAACAAGGAGATCCCTATACCTAGCAAAAAAATGACAAAATCGGGATTAGGGTGAAATGTAAAGGTGTTGTAAGTCAGTCATCTAAAGCAGATGATGGTGGCAGGCCCTCTACTAGAAGTAGGGTAAAGTGCAAGGTAAAAGATGTAATTGCCAATAAAGGAACATGTCCTTGGGCAGTCCAAATCTCAAGTTCTAATAAAAATCAGGATAGGTAGGTGAAAACAATACAAGATGAACATAAATGTTTACAAACAATGACAGTTAAAGCTTACACTTCCAGATACGTAGCAAACATAATTGTTCAACAAATTCAGAATAACCCTAGAATTCTAGTCAATGCTTTACACAAAGAGTTGTGCAGGAAACTAGAGTTAGGAATGTCATTGCAAAAGGTTGCTAGGGAAAAGACAATGGGTGAACGCATCATCAGTGGGGACTACTAAGTATAATACGAATTTTTGAGGGATTATGTTTTGGAACTACATAATACTAATCCTGGTACAAGAGTTATGATCGATGTGTATCCAGAAACCTCCATGCCTATTACCACAAGAACTTTTAAAAGAATATATGTCTGGTTGGGTGCGTTGAAGTTGGGATTCAAAGATGGGTTAAGAGATTTCCTTGGAGTGGATGGTATATTCATGAAGGGCCCTTATCCTAGGCAAGTGTTAACTGATGTGGGGTTGGACTCTAACAATGACATATACCCTGTAGCATATGCAGTAGTAGAGATAGAATCAACAAGTAGTTAGACCTGGTTCTTGGAACTGTTAAGAGATGATTTGGATTTGGGAGCAAATTCAAATTTTACATTCATTTCTGATAGACAAAAGGTATGTATCACCTAACTATTTGTCGTGTTACTATTGCTAGATAAATTTGTGTAATTAATGTTGATTACATTTACACTTGTTCAGGGAATAATACCAGCAGTTGAGAAGGTATTCCCCAATGCAGAACACACGTTTTGTTTTAGGCATATCTAAGAAACTATGATGAAACAATGGTAAAGAAAAGACTTAAGTGATCAACTTTGGGAGCGTGGTAGATCAACAATAGTAAATCACTTTAACAGAGAAATGGATGAATTAAAGAATATCAATGAGGATGCTCATGCTTGGGTGTGTAAGATTCCAGCAAATACTTTGTCTAAATCTCAATCCAGTGGTATGTTAGTAGAAAATTAATTATAAAGCACAATCTTGGTTGTTGTCTTTTTTACTATATGTGTAATTGTCTTCTCTTTATATGTGTTACATAGGTAAGGCACACACTGGATTTTTTTTAATAATCTGTGTGGGGTATTCAATTCTAAGCTAGATGAGGGTAGGGATAAACCTGTCATCACTTGATTAGAGTATATTAGAGAGTATCTCATGAAGAGATTATGTGTTGTGCAAAAAGAAATATATAAGTATGAAGGAATACTAACCCCTACAATAACTACAGTATTTGACAAGATTAAGATTGATGCAGCTAAGCATGTGGCTAAATATAATAGGGCAGGAAAGTACCAAGTGTCAAGCACATGGCAGGATCAGTATGTGGTAAAATTGAATGAGCAAAGTTGCAATTATAGGTTCTGGGAGATTACAGGTTCTCCATCTAGACATGTTGTTTGTGCTATATGGGACAAAATTGAAAATGGAGAACATGACCCACATATTGATGAATGGGTCCATCCTTGCTATAGGTTATCAACATGGAAAGACATGTATTTCAACAAAATTGATCCACTTAATGGTCGTTCAATGTGGCATAAAAGTGATTGTCCATTCACTTTAAATCCACCAAAACATAAAACACATGTTTGTATTTCAATTAGGCCTAATATGTAGTTTGAATGTAAACATGCAATTGGTTATTTTTTAACTATTATATATCAGTAGGTGTAGGTTGGGAGGCCTAAGAAGAAGAGAAGGAGGAGTGTTGATGAGCCCAATAGCCAAGCAGATAAATTGACCAGGAAAAATCTGACAATCACTTGTTCAAAGTATCATAACAAGGGGTACAATTCCAGAACATGTAAAGGTCAGGGAGACAGTGGTCAAGTTGGAGGGGGATCAAAACTCTGTTAAGTAGGTAGTAGGAGGTTTGTGTTGTAGGTCTTTTGAAACTTAAATCATGTTTATGTAACATCCCAAAATTTATAAGGTAAAATTTTTATTTTTAGTTCAAACATAAATATCATTTAACCATTTTAATCATTCAGTAGTATATCAGAGTAATATAGTTACAATTCCCAAAATAATAAAGTGCGGAAACATGGGTGGATCTGTTGCGATTAAGTCGGTCCCTTCCCCCTTGAACCGGGTGTACCTGCAAATATTTTAAACATAAACCATACACAGGAAACTTAGCGAGTTCCCTAAAATACCACAAACCATACATACATTGGGCCTTTCCCGACAACCATCGGGCCCTGCTCGGCGTCGGGTCCTACCCGACATCAGACCCCATCTGACATCGGGTACCGCCCGGCATCGGACCCCGCCCGACATCGGGCCCGCTCGACATCGAGTCCCGCTTGAAATAAATATGTCAGTAACATGAGATGGGCCCCACCCATTCATACTCGTCACGCTCCGCTTGGCATCGAGCCCCGCCCGGTATACATACAGGCACATAAAATACATGCAAGAATCACTAAAATAAACAACATAGAATACAACCATCAGGCCTCGCGTGGCATCGGACCCCGCCTATGCATC